GCGCTGCAAGTGAATCCAGCAAGTAACCGCCACTGCCCGCTGGAGCACGTGACCGCACGTGACCCCACCGCAAGTGCGCCGCAAGTGACTCCAGCAAGTAACCGCCACTGCCCGCTGGAGCAAGTGACCGCGCGTGAGCCCACCGCAAGTGCGCCGCACGTGGCCGCAAGTGACTCCAACAAGTAACCGCCACTGCCCGCTGGAGCAAATGACCGGACGTGACCCCACCGCACGTAGGCCGCAAGTGACTCCAACAAGTAACCGCCACTGCCCGCTGGAGCAAGTGACCGCACGTGACCCCACCGCAAGTGCGAGTGGCCGCAAGTGACTGCAGCAAGTAACCGCCACTGCTCGTTGGAGCAAGTGACCGCAAGTGACGGCAGCGAGTGCAAGTGACCGTACCGCCAGTGACCACAGTAAGTGACCCCTTAAGAGACTGCTGGAGCACGTGACCGAAGTGACCGCCACCGCGTGCTGGAGCAGGTGACAGCAAGTGACCACCACTGTCCGCTGGCGCAAGTGACTGCACGTGACCGCACCGCAAGTCGCCGCACTGCATGCGGTCACATTGGATGCTAGTATTTCATGCGCGTGAGATCGTTTCATGCGCATGGCATCATGTCATGCGCACGACATCATTTCATGTGCGCCTCATGATTTCATGTTCATGATCATTTCACGGGCAGAGTATTATTTCGGCTGCTGTTAATATTATTTCGGCTGCTGTTAGTAAAACTACAGTATTCCCATGAGAAGTATTACTTCATGCGCGTGACATCATTTCATGCGCATGACATCATGTCACGCGCGCGACATCATTCCGCGTGCACCGTATCATTTCATGTGCATGACATCATATTATGCGCATGATAGTATTTTGTCTAATTTCATGTGCCTTTGTGAGTAGGTTGGTTGCTGTGACTCTGGTAAGCCTTGTTGCTGGTCATCGGTTGGCAGCTGGTGTTGTTGCTGGGGTGATTTTGCTTGAGCTTTTTGTGCTAATCGAAAATGTCAGGCTGCGCGACTCGTAGACTTGTTCCCCAGATAGCGACAGCTATGGGGTTCTTACTTCAAATAAGAATGACCTATGGCAAACACAGGTCAATGCAGTACATGGCTGAGCCAAAGAAGGCAACTGCGTAGGAAGGAAAAACCAAGTGCAGTGTCCGTGCTCTGAGGAAATCTTCATTTTGATTGGGTCTGCGCATTCGTGTTTGCAAGGGGGGCAACATATGTCACAACCTGGATCCATAAATTTCATGTTTTAGCCCTTGTACGGCGTCCCATTGTAAAGTCAATGAAAAACAGAATTTTGATGTTTTCCCTTTGAATCTTGTATGTGCGTCTACATGGTGGACTACAGCTTTCTTCCTCTAGGAAATACTGCTGGCCATATTGTTCGGAGATCTCATTTTTGAGCATTGCTCTGTTTGGGGTCTACGCTGGTATAATTCAAGACGAACGGATCAGCTGGAGTGGGTTGAAAAGTGGGATGGATGCTAAAAGGGGGTGAAGAGGGCTGAAGAGGGCTGCAGTACAGTATGTGTTCGAAACGCCTCCTCCGGAGATTGATTCGATGGGATTTGGTCCAGTGAGAAGCTGCCAGAGTCTGGTGTTGGACTCCGTGGACGAGATCGCACCAGGCCAATGGGGACTTGAATCTGAAGACCCGGAGTGGTGTGGCCCCGGTACACCTCGCCGTCCGGACACCCTGGGATGGCGACGACTCGGGCCAAGATGCAAGATGTGGGAGAGAAATGCACAAGAAGATGCTAACTGGTCCAACCAGTCAGAACACTGTGCTCTTCCTGAAACATTTTGACAATTTTAACAGATGCCTTGTTTCGACGTCAGGGGCCGAAAGGAGAGGGCTACCCAAAGGGTGGGATCGTGTGTGAAAGTGCACTTTTCCTCTTAGTCTGTGCAAAGGAAAACCCTTGTGGGAGGGATGTGTAAGTGGATGCTCTCCGAACCTCGAAATCGAGGGACCCAGCTGAATACTATACACGGTATTGGTGGAAATAGACATAGAGGAACATCCAAGAATAATGTTCATTGATTGTGGGTTGCCCCACCCTTTTGTTGACTTGCCAATGAACTCATGATCAGGCATTGGACTCCAACTCCCCCTGTTCAAATAGCAAGATCCAGGCATTACTCCTTCCCAAAACAACACCGCTCCTTCTAGGAATCCGGAGTTCATTTTGCAGTAGGAACTAGAATAGTCACCCTGCAAGAAGCATGCAACTACGTCACATTGAAATTATAGACCAAGACTTATATCAGAACAACTGAAGCCTGCAGCCCGTGTTTTCTGTGCATACACATAACTAGTGAGTATAACTTTAATATGCTTATGTCTCAGCGAGACGATCACGAGCTTGGATCGGGCCGATTGCGGCAGTATCCTGTCTTGGCTTTTGGTGACTCATGATCCTGTACAGTTTTGAGGCAGCATCTTCCTTGAAAAGAGAACCCTAGGAAAATTCCAGCAGCGAAATGTCACTTTCCGCAATGAGCCACGAATGAATCCAGGCCATTAGCAATCAATCAGCATCATTGGAGGCTGGATCTGGCCAGTGGTTGTGCCTTCAACACTGCTGCTTTGGTGTTCAGGATGCTTTGAAGGATGTGAAAGAAGAGCTAGATGGGACGGAGCATTGTCGGACGACTTTGAACAGCTGGTAGGTCTACACGACCCGTTCTTGAAGGAACCACCTAATTTTGCTCCAAAAGTTTGTTTCACAAGCCATATTTTTTCCCGGACTTTCTGAGAGCTTCCGGATACAAAGGGAAAGAGTCTCAACAGTCCTCAGGTGCTGAAGCAGTGCAGAGCCAACCTAGATATGCGCGGAGCTTAGAGAGCTTCTTCATGCAGTCGGACAGAGATTAGCTGATTAGCAGACCGGACAAAGTGAGTTTGCGCAAGGAATCGTGAGATACATATCTATATAATTATGTGGTGTTGTTCTCACCAAGTGCGATCTATACCAAGGTGTCGATGCATGGGCCGATCATCCGATCATGCACTTCTGGTTCCATGAAAAAAGGATTAACATGGTTCCCTTTTCACGTGAATTCAAGGGACTGGTTGTTTCAGGTCCAGAGTCCAGCTCCCGTGTCACTGGTCGTCTCACGGCTTGTGTCCTTCTCACCGCCTGGGCCACCTGGTGCCCGAGGCCCGCGGTGGGTGGCAACACACCGGTGCACGAAGGAGTCATGCAGCTGCTGGGCCGAAGAAGGGGCGATGGACGGAGTGCGACGTCCGCGGATGTCCGCGGTCCGTTGCTACGTCATCTGGGCCTCGGGCCGATGGGTCGCGTCGTTTGTCACGGTTTCTTGTCCCGGGGCCGATGGAATTTGGAGACCCTTCGAAGCGAAAGTGAAATGCTGACGCATCCCCCAGAAAGAAGTCCTCCTCCCCTTTGGTGTGCCAAAAAGTCAGCATTCTTGAAGGGAGTGTTGGGTGGGTTTTGCACCCTGCTATTTTTTCGGGGGTGCTTTCAAGCTCACCACAGCTTGAGGGAATCTTCTTTGGACATTGGAGGCCCTGTTTGGACCCCTGTCGATCGCCTGACTCGACGAACCTTTTCGGGTGAAGCAAAAGACAATTTTTTCCGGTGGAGGGATGCTTGGGACGCTTTTCGAGCCTTCAGCAAAGCAGCAGAGCGTTTCGAAACTGTTCAGGAACAACCCAGAGATCATTCAAAAGCTCTTCGACCTCAAGGCGGCCATGGGCCTGGGTCGTTGTAGTCTGGCTGAAGGTTTTCAGGGATGTTGCTCGATGTTGCTCGACGCGCTCTTGCCAGATTGCTGATGCCTTCACAAAGGGTGTGGGGAAAGGGTTTTGAGTTTGAACAAGTTCTCTTCAGCTCACATGCATCGCTGGAACAAGGGGCATACACGCTGACGTGGATTAAAACGACTATAACAGTGGAATTGTAGCCAGCGGGGTCCCAACGGCATGGGTGACTTGCATACATTCAGGTCGGTGACTACAGAAGCTCCAGTCATTCCTTTCAGCATAGAACTAAGTTCTAATCTGATCCACATAGAAATGGATTCAGGCGTTGGCACATGATTCCTGAGAGCCCCAACGAGCATTAACATACAAAGAGATGTGGATGAACTACATCCTGATCCCACATTTAAGTTGCATGGTTCCCCCAGATCAGACTGATCAAAGCGGCTGGTCATGCTATAGAAAACTGGCCTCAAGTGAGGTCTTTTATGAGCAGACCAGCGCATGTTGTTTTCATTCTCTGCTGTACTTTTTCCAAATTTACAGATATGCGTTTCCGTTGCACAGGCAGATATCAATATCGAGAGTGGCCCGGACAATCACTTTGCAACACCTTTGGCTATGGCGCTTGAAAGGTGTGGCAGTAAGTCCTCTTCGTGCGCGGGTGGTCACCACGGCAGGTACTTTATAACTAGGCGTACCCACAGAATCCGTAGGAGAGCTCAGGTTTGCTCTTGTGTACTTGGCTGGGTGCAACGAATGAGTTTTGCACCGACAGAAAGAGTTCCACCATCCTGACAGCTCATCGTGTCGCCTCCACCAGCGCCTCCTGGGTAGACACCTGAGTCCTCTTGCCCCAATCGATCGCTGGTAGACTGGTCTATGGTCTGAACCTTCCAGGGCGAACGCCGTTGCTCGGGGGTCAGTCTCCCTATACAGTATGTTAACTATACACACCGTGCAGTCGGAAGATGTCTCCAGGAAGAAGAAGAAGGCTGCAAAGAAGCTGCAGGAGCTCAACGCTTTGGAGAAGGCAGGGCCAAGCAGCGACCGCCCTTGACCGAGTTACTCGCATAGAATTTCCATCGGGTTTCCGTATTCCCTCCGTCAAAAGCACGTGGTGGCCATTCTTTGCTTTAAGCACTGTACCTGAAAGGTGCAAAGGTCTGGAAGAAACACGATTCGATTCCACCGAACCCGGTCCGAACGCCAAGGCTTACGTGTGGGTGCCCTCCTGGATTAACATCGCAGCAGGTTTCGTTTTGTGATTTCGGGTTTGGATGGACCCGAAAAAGCTTGGAGAAGTCGGCCAGTCGGCCGGGCGGGTCTCGTGATCGCCCCTTTGATGATGCAGGTACCAGGAGGCAACCTTCCGGACAGCTTGGAGATTGTGGAGTTCAAGCGACGTGTCAAGGATTCGATGAGCTCTGGAAACAGGTTGTCATGTAGACCCTTGATGAACAAAACCCCAACATATGAATAGGTCAATAGGCTTTTCATTCCAAATCGGGGAGTTGTGTTAATCAAAAGTCTACATCTACATCATTCATTTTGAGCAAAATCCCCAGGTTGGCGACTTTTTGTGCCTTGAGACACACAAGAAATACACACGAAACATAGAGATGAGGTGAAGTAGGCTTTGAGAAGTCTTGTGAGGGCAAAACGAGCTTGGAAGGTGCAGTCTTGTGTCATCGTATTGCTCGGCCAGGAAAGCACCACAATACAGTGATGACCCCCATGTGTCAAACCCTCAACGATCTCATCTGTGATTAAAACGAGCGGTTGACCCAGAGACTTTGGTAAAACGATGGAATCTTTGAGAGTGTCGTGTTTATGAGCTCCCCCCATCGCCGCTCCTTTTCAGGGCAGGTTGGATTTCTTCACCACCCAGACAGAACTTCCGAAGAGTCGTGACACTCCCATTCATCCATGGAGTGTGAGTGGGTCCACCAGTAGCCATTAGATACAGGCCCGTGAGGAAGAGGGAGATTGCAGCCTCTGCTCAACGCTGTAGGGATGGGAGGGGAACTTCCAGGACATGCACCTACCAAAATTGGATGATGTCACTCCGCCAAAAAACGATTAACAACAAAGTGAACGATGGAGTACCGCTGTAAGTTGTAAGAACCATCAACAACAAAGTGGTTGATGGAAGACCCCTAGAAGTCAATCCCCGAACATGGTCTGGATGGACGTGGTTACTTCTACTTCTTCTTCTTCTTCTTCTGAGTCATCGGTGTTTGGGTTGGCACACGGGCTTTGGAGACTCGGACAGATCGTGTGCATTTTTCGACTGGGCTTCGAAAGCGCCGTAGTGACATTTGAATGCCGGGTCTTGTGTCAAACTTGACCCAGTGACTGTGGGTAAAAGCCACGGAATTCTATTTTAGGAGGCTAATTTTACTGACCAAACGTGAGTTCCCCCCAATGTTGCTCCCAAAGAGAGGGCACTTCCCAACCAATGTCACAGGTTGGTGGAAACTAGAAGCGCCAAGGAACTTTCTGAAGAGTAGGATCGCATGAGTCTCTTTGCGTTTCCCTCCAGGTACCCTCCCCCTCTCTCGTGCTTTTCACTTCATCTCCCAAGGCTCCGCCGCCGCAGCTTGCGCTGAAGCCAGAATAGGATCTCTTCCGCTTTCGGGGCTTGGACAAAATGCGCAGCTGGATGGGTCGAAAGTACTTTTTTGATCTTTTGAGTTCAACCAGATCAACCTCAGGACCCCGCAGTTGGCGCCCTGCTGGTTTTTGCCCGGTCCTACAAAAACTTGGCTTCCTTGATGGAGAAGACTTCCCATCACACTGATGTCTTCCCAGGGTGTTTCACCAATACCATTTGTCGACCTGTTGGATGTGGAGTTGGGTCCCGAGTTTTTGGAGTCGAGAGCTAGAGCCCAGATGGCGAACCTGGGTCACTCCCGAGTAGATTGGATGAGTAGAGCCTGTGGCACCTTGGTGTATTTTCAGGAGAAAGTTGACAACAATTTCAAGACTGACACGCCAATCCTCGCCTTGTGGCAAGATCTTCAAGAAGAACACCAAGTCATTGAGTTGTTTGGGTTCTTCACAATCCTTTGTATTGCCAGTGTTGGAACCTGTGTGCAGGGTAGTGTAATCAGCTGAGATGACTCAAGGGGCAGGTGGCAGCCCTCCAAACTGACTACGTCATGTTTGATTGAAAAGGATGTACCTTGTGGTGTTCTCCCAAAGACTCGTTGCAGAAGACAAGGATGGGTAGATGAAAGGACCAACTCATTGATGCGGAAGACAAGGACCTCTTCACCGTTCCCACCCTGCCACCCTGGTCTCGCGTGAGCCAATACATGCAAGCCAACTGATTCCTACCTAAACGGTAATGAGTGTCGAGCGTGACCAATACACGGGAGGTTGTTGGAGTGGCCTGATCATTCCAAACCAATACACACTCGCATGTCGCATGACCGAAATCTGTTCGCAGCTTATGGGCTCGAAGGACCACGAAAATGGGGTCATCATCCGAATCGAATGGTGGGGAATGGCAGCCCGAAAGAGAAGAAACGTTAGGCAAAATGTTCATGGGAGATGCAATCAATGGGGGTCAAGAATATCACAGAAGTGTCATTCGAAGCTACACTACTTACCCAGTTTTCCACTCCCCAGTCAAACTCTCAAGATGCCTCCCTGGCGCAGCAGACATGGCGGAAATGGTCAAAAAATGTATATTTTTTCAGCAGATCTTGGGCCAGGCGACTTCTAAGCCAAGTCTCTGTGAACGTTTTTGACCCGAGGATTCTTAACGATTGCTCAGTAGGTAGGTCACACGTGGATCGAAGTCGCCGATTGTCCCTCCCAGGCGGGTCTCAACTGGTGGCTGGATATGTGTTGAAGAGTGGTTGAGGAGTCTTGATGGGGAGTCACATGCATATCGTGTCCTACTTTGGGTTCAGACTCTTTAAATATTCTGCAATCCTACAGTCCTCACCATCTTAATGTGGAGCCTCCTTTGCAACCGGCACGTATTTCTACTCAGCATCATGTTTGTCGTTCTAGGAGGTGCTTTTGGAATCACCCAAGCGTAAAACCCTCCTGACATTAAAGCCTCAAGTTTCGAATGAACATATGAATAGGATTGTCGGCGATGTTGAGCCCATTAGCCTTTCTGGTGGTGCAGGACAGCTAGGACAGCACCCCAACTGGTCGGATGAGGTCCGGCGTTTTCTCACCATACCCATTGTGAATCTTAATGAAGGGCAGTCCCTAAGTAGCTCCTCTTGATGGGGAGCTGAAGCAGGTCCTCCACAGCACTGGTGTTTGTACGCAAAAGCCAAACAATTTCAAAGTACCTGGTAGCGAACCTTGTTTCTAATAGCGTCCTTGTTACTACTAGTAAGGCACCTGTTACTAGTAGCGTGGCACTTGTTACTAGTAGCGAACCTTGTTACTATGGTACGCCTTTTTTCGATTCCGAACTCGGAAAACAGGGGCACCTCCAAGAGGTAGACGGTGCTGCTGCGTTTTTGGCCGCTGCGTCTAGGCGCATGAAGCGGGAGGCTCCTCGCTCTGAGGACGCCGGGCATGGGGCACCCAGGTGGAGCCAACACAGTGAGTTCGCACTTCAGGAGAGAAAGTACTTAGTCGCATGTGACAAGCACTGGGAGACGAAAAGTATTTCGTTGTCGCATTCGAAGTGATGAGCAAGTTGGGACTCAAAGTCTTTTTTGCTTTCGGGGCGGGTATCTAGGTTTGTTTTGTCCTGTGACGTCTCACTTCTTCGTGCTACTCTGCCGTTGGTCCAAGGCGTCCTGGAAAGCGAGCTCGCAGCCCTACCGGGGGGCAGGTGTGCTGCTTGGATGGGATGGTTCTGCTCGCAAACGAGCACTGTGTTCGCGAAAGAGATCGAAAGAGCACACCCTTGAAATCGAGAAAGAGGCAATGCTATGGTGAATAAAGGATTGTTGTGTGGGCTGCCACTTTGACAGCTATAACTTCGTACTTGAGGTTTCTTTAGATATGGTCGAACTTTTGGATGGCCAATCTTTCCGCTTGAGAATTGCCTTCTCATCAAGGAAGTAAGGGAACCTGTGCAGACCGCAAAGTACATGTTTGTGGCACAAGCATGCAAAGATGATCAACACCAGTTGCTGGCATGGATGGCAAAAGAGCTTAGTTGATTTGATCCCACCATGGATGGAGCCAATATCTTAATATGGGCAAAAACGGCCTTGAGTGAATCCGTGGGAAACAATCTATTTTGGGGTGCGACTAATTGACAAGAGGGAGTAAAGGATGCAAAGATTTCACACACACACAATTGACATCCCTCGTAGAAAAGGGTATTGATAGTTTTCCCAAATCAAATCCAAACATCTTGGATCCGCGTCTTGATTTTCAACATGAGCCTCACATTTGGGAGCGAGGGTGTTGATCAGTTTTTGATCGGGATTTCACCCTGATCGCATGGGCCAAAGGATGAGGAAGATGACAAGATTATCCCTTAGCTGAAGCTGGGAACTTTGGTATGGTTTCATTTAAACTTCCAAAAATTTGTTGATTTCAAACAAGCTAGCAGTAGCACACATCCCCAGGTGGTTGATCTAGCACCGCATCAGAATTCACCCAACTAGGTATTTGTGCATCGTATTTAGCTTAAGTTAGCTTAAGTTTCCCTGGAAACCAAATCATCAGTGCGAACGCTTCCTTGAAGAAGCATGAGCTATCCTGCATCCTAAGTAGTAGCTTAAGCAAGGTACTAGCTACCTCCTCTACTAGCTACCTACCTCACCTCTAGTAGCGGCCTACCCCCTAAACAGAATTAAAAACGCACGTTCACGATCAACAAGGAAAAACATAAAGGTTGGGTGTTGGGTTTTGGGTCTTGTGTGTTTCCAGAGCCTACTCCGTGCCAGCCGGCCACGGGCCGCATCGTGAACTGGTACCCGCAGAAGGGGTATGGGTAGGGGAGCCAAGAGGAGCAGTACTTGTAGGTCTTGAAATGATATCAGGAGCTCATATCTGGTTTGTATTTTGACGGATTGGAGAGTGTTTACACATCGACTTCAGGATTCTTTTCATTGTTTTTGGGGGCGATCTGTGAACAGGTCGATACCGATATCTCAAGAGGTGACATTGTCATAGTGGATGAGGGTAGGGACTTGGGGTCACAAAATAAGAGGTTGGCAGGGAGTGCATTGAAAGGAAAGAGGGACCACCAAAGACCATCAGTCAGGGAAACATGAGGGCGACAACAGCAACAAAACAGGCCATTGGTTGGTGTCTCTCATTCACCTTGAGATCTCTGGAGAGAGTGCCTAGGTGCGGAGCCTTTAAGTTCTGAGTGATCCCGGTCAAGAGCATTCAATGACCCCTTTTGTCACCTGGGTCACGCACAACACAATACACTTGAGCAGTCGCCAAATTATATACCTCAAACTTAATCAACTGGGGTGATTATACCTATCTATGACTACCATCTTGACTTTCCTTTGACCAACCTACTGTAAGCTGCTGCGAGATGAACAAAACTACCAACCACCCAAGAGACCAGAGATTCGAAACAAAAGATTCCCAGAATTCCCATGCCTTGTCCATCAGCATGACGATCAAATTCACTTGCAGCTTTGAGGTTCATCCAATCCAGTATTTGTCCGAAGGACACTGGCACAAGGGCTCCATGTGGCGCACTGGGTGGTCCTCATGGCACCATGAAATCGTCCACCTGACCATGTTCATTCGGAATTTGACCGATGAGATGCCGTTGATGTTGCTTGACTTCCGTGTTTACCACTTAAAGGGCAGCTGTTAAAGCTGTTGGCCAGACCAGTGTCTGGATTTGTTGAGCCACATCGTGTAGCATGCTTTGGGTGTCTTTAGAATCATCACCTAGCTAGCAGCAGAGTCTCAGCTGCTGGAAAAGGTTTCCTTCCATGTCCATCAGCAAATTACACTAGCCTACGCTTCAGAGATCAGTTGTTTTTTTGTGACACACATGAGCAACTTTTCCAGTTGCTTTGGCTTTGTTTTGGATGTGTATTGCCAGTTGTTCACACCGCAACTCCATGAACCTCTGAAAAGAACACTCCCACGCTCGGTCAAGACCCCCGTCCAGAACGTCAATTCACCGTGTCCGCGCGCTTAGCAGTCGACCGCTCCAGGATGTCTTCTTCCCCAAAATGGCCCTGCCGCCCGACCTCAAGGACCCCGGGCTTTGGGGCTGAGGTCGGCCTTGAGGAGAGCGGTGGCTGAGGAGCTGAAATTGAGGGCCAAGCGTCTGTGGGTTCGGGGGCTGATTGTTGGAGCCACATGGCACATATTGTGAGGTTCGAGGATCGATAGATGGACCATGTGACCATGTCTCGAATCCGTTGCTTCCTTGTGAACAGCAACATCTGTGTCTCGCTCAAACAGCGGGTACCATACCTGCTATAGTAGTAGCCTAGCACTTAGAATATTTACCCTTTCACTTCACCGTTATAAAGAAATAGAGACGGAGGTCCGGGTGAAAAACGATGCAGATAGAATATCCCTATGCAGATAGAATAGTTCAACATGCACATAGAATATTATGCACCAACGGTTTTAGTATCTCTTTTTGAACACCGATTGATTGATGGCTTTATACTCTTGTCTTTCTGTTTGAATTTTTCAGATGCACAGTCGTTCCAACTGGGGAATATTCTAACTGCAAGAATGTAAGACCCAGTGGTTCAAGAAAATCAGGTATTCTAACTGCATACCCTTAATTTCTGAGTATTCTAACTGCTGGCCTTCTACTATACTGACTTCTTCTTTGCTGCACGCATGAAAGCGCCCACACGAAGCACGTCAGGCATTTTCCCCAGGTTTAGTTCCACATTTGGTTCGGGTCACAAGTGCACGGCCACATCCTCATGCTCCTCATCCTGTTCATCCTCCTCATCCCCAGTTCACGCAGCCGAACACACCAGGAAGTGGAGTTCGAGCGCATGAAGGGCTTGGAGGTGGCGATCCCCGAATCCGCCGTCGTAAGCAGATTCTAATTTGTTAAGATGAAGATCCACAGTGAGGAATTCTTCTGTTTCTGGTATACATGCAACAGTAGAGTGAAGTATACAATTTGGGAGTAGAGTAAAATGAAGGGATGTGCCTGGCCCCCGCAACAGATTTCACGTTTTTCATCCACCCTTCCCTTCCCTTCCCTTCCCTTCCCTTCCCTTCCACTTGGTCAGGGTCGAACGAACTTGAGGAGACTTTTCGACAAAGTACAGCCTCCCAGATGACCACCTGCAGGATCTTCACTTCTGGGAACCATCCGTTGGCTCCACGGTCCAACGCAACAGAGGTGAGCTTCACCTTCACCGAGCTCGATGGAAAGCCAAGAGCAGAGGCCATCTACATGAGAGGCGCTCGTGCGCTTTGAGCAGGGGGGTCGAAGCCGTCCTTTGTACCTTCAGGAAACCACAAATTTCGAGCTGTCTGAGCGTCCCTTCCAGACCAAAGGATGAAGTTGCTGGAAGTCTACTACTCTTCCTTCCGGGGGTTGTGAGCCAACAGCCTCGTTCATGTGCCAGGAATTTGACCACCTGTCCGAATCTTGCGACACCACTACTATATAAGAATTGTCTGTGGAACCTACAAATGGACAGTGGCGGAAAGAACTCTCATAAACCCACGGAATCCTGAGTTCTGGGTGCCCCAAATGCCTTCATTGTATAAGTTCGTTCTCTTTTTCTTGATAGACACAAATCTGACCCCAAGAATGGTGCGAGGCATTGGCCCGGCCCGGCCCTTGTCTCAATTTCGGCTCCAAGCTTTCGAGGCAGTGCTCCGGTCTTTGACCGTCCTCCACCTCCTCGAGAGCTGCGGGAGATGCACCCAGGTCAGCAGGGCTCACGGTGGGCATGTTTGGTGTAATTGAAAATAGGGAGACAGATCAACCAAAGGGTCTTGGTCTATTTTCATCGATTTTATCTGGTCGAAGAGGGGGTCCTTCTTGGAATGTACACCTATGTCCGGAATGACGGCCCTGTCTTGAGGCACGAACCCCAAGGCACCTGCAGCAACATGTACTTGGTCTTTGGAAGTCGATGAAGCCAAAATGGACTCCGAGGAGGTCGAACAAAGACATGGATCAACATTCAATGGCTTTCGCCATGGCCTTCGGGGTTCGGGGCTTTTGCTTCAGAAGCTCAAACCATGGACTGATCGAAGACAGCAGGAGACTGATTGATGCCAAGGGAACCTTGAAAGGGCGAGGCCCAACATGGCCGGCTTCCAGAAAAAGTGCTGTGAAGTTGTGCTTGGCCATTAAGAAGCCGACTTTAGATAAGTGTAATTGCCATCCCTTCCTGTAAGTTTATGTTCAGTGGAGTGGAGTACTCATGTTCAGATGAATGTCCCGAGTCCCAACCTGAACGAGTGCTCTTCGGACTGCAGATGTCGCGAGAGGCGCCAGGAGAATTGCTGGGAATACCAAGTGACCAATTGGGGCTTCTTGAGGATCCAACGAAGTCAGTTGAGAGAACCAGCAACCTGAGCCCAATCCCCGATTGAACTACCCGAATGGGCCCAGCAGTCTTCTTTGGCGGGTTGTACGTAACAGGTGAAGTATTGAATCGCACACGCCTCAGGCAAACAATAAATCGAGCCATCGTTTCAAGCTGTCCGTGGGCAGGTGACAGACATGAAGAGCCGGCGGACTCGGCGGGTGGCAAAGGTCTAGCAAGCTTTGAAGAGATTTAGAAACAGACTTTAAGGAACATACTAGCAATGGCCTCCAACCTGCTACTAGTGATGGCCTCCAACCTACAAGCGATGGCCTCCAACCTTCTAGCGATGGCCTTTAACCTAGCAAGCTTAAAGACACTGGTTTTTGCATTGACAATCCTTTAAGCAGGGGAGTGTGAAAGAAATCCAAACCCTTGAGAGTCAGGTTCAATCAGGGTGTGCATCTCTACCGTGGAAAATCTTGGCGCAAAGATGAAAGACACCACGAAGGGTGATGTTGAGCGAGGGATCACCTTCAAGCGTTTTCTCCAAGACAAGTCCTGGGCCTTTCACCGTCGACCCATGGCAAGCTCCACGATCTGAACATATCGGAGATTCGGTAGGGGTCAGATCCAACACCCTTCAAACCCGACCCTTTTAAAGCAACCTGTGTGCAGGGTTTGTCACGTTTGGTTTGCTGGCCACAGCTCATGACATGTACTGGTGCCATGGGAGTGAGATGAATCATTATATAGGTGGTACAAACCCAATTTGCTTGCCCAGGTTTGGGAAAAGCCCCGTATTCATTGCATCCAAGTGCTTCACAGAAGATGGCACGAAAAACAACAGGGGCAACACCCTGGAGCTGAAAGAGTTGTGATGGACGATAAATGACCACGATACTTCTGTTCACCTAGCTGCGACAAAGACGGTGGTTGAACAACAAATGCAAGCCATCACAGGTACTTGCAGTATCAAAACAACCAAGTGGCCAATCTATCAGCTCAACCGTACTCAACCAATCAATCAACGAACCGATCAACCAATCGCCAAACCAATCAACCAAACACGGCCTGTTCGAGCCGAAAGTTCCTGGACGTCGGACGTACTGACCGAATCTTCCGAGGCGGCCGCCCATTCACAAAGGCACTTTGCGGTCATATGATGCCAAGAAGGCGGGGGCTTCGAAATTTTTCAACTGAACAAACTCGCTCGGTGGTGTTTCTTCGGGGATGTCTGGGTGCATTTCACCCATCGGGGTGGTGCCTCATAGTTCCAAAGGGTTGTTTACGACTGTTCATGGAAGGAGTAACAAGTGCCTTACTAGTAGTAACAAGTGCCACGCTAGTAGTAACAAGTGCCACGCTAGT